AGAACATAAGGTTCCGGAAGTTCATCAATTAAAGAGTGTAAATCACTGCGGGAAACTAGGAGGAATGTAAATAGTGCAGATTGTGATCAGTTTATCAAAAATAACCGCTCGAACAGCCACTGCCTCAAGGGATGTTTGGAGTTGTAAGAGTGTGCATGCAATTCCTTGATTCACTATGATGGCAACACCTCCGTATGATGTCATGGCATCATCACGGTCCTTTCGAAAAATAACGTATTTACGGAGAAAATTTGTGTGTTTTGAATTAAGGTGTGTTTCTTGTACACACAGCACTTTTGGTGAGTGTTTGTGTAAGATTTCTTGGATGTCGTCAAGGTTTCTGAGAAGGCCCCTGACGTTCCATTGTATAATTTGAGTGTTCATGGTGAATGTAAAATAATGCTGTGTGTACGAAAAGCGAGTGGCTGTTTAGACGGGGAGTTTGAGTTCACTTAACAGGGCCGCCTGTTATTTGCTTTTTTGTTTTCTTGGCGCGCTCCAAGGAGCCACGCCGCTCTTTCGGCACCAAGGGTGCCGACGTATCTATTGCCTCCTCGGAGGCACTGGATGCCCACACGTGCGGACTGTTAGTTCGGATTTCAGGCCTCGCCTGGTGAGGGGAGGCCTTGAGATCCGAAGACTCTGGAGTCTCCGGTCTCTGTTTGGGAGTAGGCGGCGTAGCCTGGGCTACAGCCGCCTTGGGGGCGGGTGCCACAACCGCCGGCTCGGTATGCGCGGGCCGAAGGAGTGGTGAGGGCTGGTGCGGCGGTGCCCCCAGACGCGCCGCATCAGCGTATGTAGGTCCATAGAATGGAGCGACTCTTCGCCGTGCTTCCTTAAATGATATGTTCTCCTTCACCTTTAATGTAATTATTTCTTTTTCTTTTTTCCAGTATGTGCAGGAGCGTGAATATGCAGCATGGTTTCCTTCGCAGTTTACACAGTGTGGCGGTTGTTTGCAGTTCTCAGACACGTGGCCTAGGACTCCACATTGTGCACAAGTCTGGCGACCACGACAGGTTGTTTTAGAGCCATGGCCATACCTCTGGCATTGGAAGCATCGACGAGGGTTTGGTATATACGGCCTGATAGATGTCTTTGTGTACCCTGTTTGAATGGAATCTGCTAGTTTACTGGATGCAAACGTGAGTATCAAGTGTTTTGTTGGTATTTCCTTATTATCTCTTCTGATGATAATTCTCTGTACATTATTGACATTTTGGCTCTTCCACCCTTCCAAAAGTTCAGTTTCAGTTAGTTCAAGTAAGTCTGAATCAGATACCACTCCGCGAGTGATGTTCATAGATCTGTGTGGTGTTACGGTGATCGGTACGTCACCAAACGTTGAGAGGCTGTCTAGCTTTACAAATTGTGCTTTGTCCCGAATTTCGAGAAGAAGGTCTCCACTAGCCATTTTGGTTACTTTGTATCCAACCCCGAGAGTTTCAGTAAGACACCAGGCAACTACAAAAGGAGATACGGTCCTGGCTTGCTTTCCGGTTTTTTCACAGTGAATGACGTGGAAGTGAGGAAAAGTTTCTATTGGCTGGTTGAAGAAATTTATGTCGTCGGTGCGTACCCGCTTTAGGCCGGTACGATCAGACAGTTGAGGGAATGCTCCATTCATGCCGGTCTTATTTTTGTTCAGCAGCGTTGGTGGCCACCCACCACGGAGCCCAACAAGGGGACGCTGCAAGTTTGCAGGTGCTGAAAGCTTGCAGACGTCAGCCGTACAACACTGCCATAACCCAATGCGCCTAGACCAAGGTAGGCTATTTGCACATGGTTAACCCTTGCCGCCAGGAAAATTGGAAGTAAACAGAAGAGAGAAGTAGACAGGAAAGCTAAAAAAGTAAGAAAGACGAAGATGTAGAGAGAGAGAGATAGGAAAAGGCGACTGCCGATTTCCCCTGGGTGGGTCAGCCCAGGGGTGCCGTCTACGTGAAGCCGGGGCCAAAGGGGTGTGTTGCCTCTGCCGGGGGGCCTCAAAGGTCCAATCACCCAGCATTGGCTCAACCCCCAGGATCCCCTTTTCCCCGGACACGGCAAAACCACGCACGGCTAGGCGTGGGAGGGAGTAGAAGCTCCCCCGTTAGCTCGGGTCCATGGTGTCACTACACACCAAACGCCTACTAGCGCAGGTGCCCCTGCGGGTAATTAGACAACCATTCAGTCATCTGAACGTTCATCAGCACTCATTATTCCCTCATGCTCTTTCATTATGAAACAAGTTACCTCAAGAGGTCATTATTGCGGACACGACACAATCGTTTGCCCATCTCGTCAACGACCTAACACTTAATTTTTAATATGCAATATAATATGTTCCTCATTAGTGCTGAGATTTTTTGTAATTTGGTATGAATTCATTATTGCTATGTATTATTTATATTTTCCCTGATGTTGAGAATTCCCTTAATTTTGTACCTAGTATTGTATTTTCTTATATTTTTATATTCTGTTTTGTCACTGACATTTGTTACCCACTCCTGCTTGGGCCTGAACAAGGCCTGCAGTATTTGTAAATAAATAAAATAAATATATACATTAGTAAACTATGTGTATATTTACGTACACCAATCGAAAAATTGGCCCTGTATCTGCATGTTAATGAGCAAGTGTCCTTGAAAGACGATAGTCTTGTGTGTGGAGTGAGTGAACAATTTATTTGATGCTCTGTGCAAGAAAATCAGTGAATAGTATTCTGGAGGCGCTGCGTTAGAGTGCCTCGAGCATGCAGCGGAGGCAAACGAGCGCATTATGTCATGTCACAAGTCAGACATAAGCACCATTTGGCAGTTGAAAAACAAAGCGCGTGGCTCTGAGACGAGTGTGCGTGCCCGTCTCAGAGGTGATAAGGTGTAGAGCGCAAGGCGACGGGTAGGTGCTGCCACCGTCTCGTCTTAGCAAAGCGTTGGAAACACTCGCCTTTTCGTGCAAGCGTTGCATGGTCAGTGCAGCGTTATAAAGGCTACGGTCCTTAAAATGACTTTTGTTTACCTTTTCTAGTAAAAGATGCACATGCAGAATACAGTGCAGTCCACTTATAACGATACCACATACAACGATATATCGGTTATAACGATGGGTCGACTTAACAGTCTCATTTTATGCATTGAGGCTATGGGGAAAAAAACCATATATAACGATATGTTATCCACCGCATATCGGATACAACGATGAAAAGTTTGCCGTGGACGGCATGTTTCATTCAGAATAATCGTAACATTTAGATTGATAAGTTCCTCTGAAACGAACTATGCCGAGACAAGACGAAAAGTTAGCGTAGGCGAGTACGTATCTGCCGCCACTGCAGCACAGCGCCGGCAGCGCGTCCCGGCCGTTCAAAAAGCCGAGGAGAGCATCGCGAGTTGGCGCGACGCGCTACAGATGGCGCCAGCTGCGTCACGTTTTGCGCCTCGCCGCGCGTCGGCCGCGGAGAGGCTGAGAGAATTTAAAAAAAAATGCGAAAAGCAAAGCGCCGCGCTTCGCGGCTCCCCGCCTTCTACCACGGCAAGCCGGCAAGCTACGAGTAGCTTGCCGAACGAAAGCGGGAAAGAGAGAGAAAATAAACAAAGCAAAAAGCAAAGCGGCGCGGCGGCATCGGGGCGGGGCCTCGTTGGCATTCCGGCTGTGTACCTCTGGCTGTGCTTTCTTCCTCCCACTGCTCCCACCCCGCCGTCGGTCAGTCTCTCTTCCTCAGCGAACCCGTGATGCGTTCTTCGGAGTAAGAAATAAAGTCTTGTTTTTGACATCCTACTATCTACAATATTTATTAAGTGGTGAAAATAGCGAAATGAAGCCTGGAGCTACAAAAGGTACGTCCGGCGACAATTTTTTGGCGGCAGTCCAGATATAACGATCACCGGTTATAACGATCATATTTTTAGGTTTTCTCGATATCGTTATAAGTGGACTGCACTGTATATACGTGTTGTAATGATGCCCCAGAAATGCACAATATTTGCTTAATAATTGACAATCACACAAGTATGAACGTTAAATCTTGAGCAACATTGGTGGTCACTGCAGGTGAGGTCGGCCGTTTCAAGTACATGGTGCCGTTAAGAGAGGACAAGAAGACAAATATACAGCCAGACAGACGAAAATTTTTGCGTCACAGGTCCCCAAGAAAGACTATCGTCATTAATAAACTGTAGTCTTGCATGTCCCGCACCGCTCAGCTACGCTCACAAGGGGCGCTTAACCGAGGTGATTCGGAGGCCGTGTCATCGGCTCCCTGTCTAAGGGCCTCCTCACCAGATGTAAGTCGCCTACGCTAGTAGGCTCCGTGCAATGAATAGCTGAAGTACCGGCGAGGCGCTGAAACACGGTTGAAGCTCAACGAGAGGTGGAGCGTATAGGGCGGGTATTGCAAAAGTCAATGTCGGCCAAGTGCTTCCTGCACACGGTCGATGAAGGAGTGGGGCACATTCCCTCTCTGAGTTTCACCATCCACTTCTGCCTCTGCTTCAGGTATTCAGGGTAGTTGTGAAAACTAATGCCCTTTTCACGAGTGGGTGATCATATAAAGACACAAAACAGTACTTCACCATTGCGTAGCACTCACCGCAGAGACAAGTGGTCGCAGTTGTAAGAAACAAAGCGCCGTACTTTTAAAATAAGCATTGAAAGCGGGCACCCACGGTTGTTAGCACAGCACTGGTAGCCATTACATGCAAGATAATCAATTTAACTGAGTCTTTGCCGAGTCTTTACTGCGACGATGGTTTCTATACGGCGCCGCTCATCGACAGCACGGGATCCTTCGATTTGACGTCATACAAGTGGGGTTCGCAGCGCCACCATTGGTCGCGCACCAGGCTAATAGAAGCGATAAAAGGGGCCATCCTGCAGCGCTATGTGAAACTGTTTAGGCTGATGGCAGCAACATAACAGACCAGTGCTCTCAGCTTCCAAATGAGACATTCCAATGACAAAGAGGGGAAGTGGAGGTACTGTGATCCAATGACAAGCGTGAGGGGAACTGAGAGCCTTGCCTGTTCGGTGTGTATCTCGTGGTACCCGTCAGCTGGTCCTTGTGCCAGTGGGCCAGTGGTGGTGGTGCCTTTGACAACCCTCCAGCAGCGGGCCATGAGCCGGCCCAGCACGGTGGTTGGATGAAGGGCGACCAGGGTGGGTACCAGGGCCTCAACCAGGCCCCGCAGCCCTTCCAGCATGGGTGGCGACATCAGCACATGCACATCCCCCTGCAGCCGTACCACCACTGCACTGCGCTGTAGCAGAGGAGGCTGCGGGAACCACTGCTGCAGCGGCTGTTGCTGCGACACACAGCAAAACAATATTTACTCAAATTTAGGCTGATCCTCTAAGGCCCCAAGCCAAAAAAGAAAACGGTCCCCTCAAATGTAGGCTGAGCAGGAAAAAAAAAAGGAAAGCCTACAGCACGCAAAGAACTCAAGCCACACTTATAACTGAACCTATGCAGGGAATCGTGAGCAGCAGAGCCAACAATTCATCTAGCTTTCTTCTCTGTGAATGCGTTTGTACGGTGATCTCTACTGGATGGGAGCTAATGCCACTCCTCTGAATCACGGCCCTTTCTGCAGTGTGGCACTGATTGTCCTGAGCAAATTCAGCTAGCTCAGGCTATCACATATCCAGAACTCTTGTACACATATGTTTGCTCTGCGAGTGCCCTTGCAGTGACAATTTCTTGTGTGTGAGTGGATCGTTTCCAGTAGTAGGCGGCTGTTGAGTGTATCATGTTGGGCCAATGTGGCAGCAGCTGAGCTTTCTTTCGCAGTTTAGGCAGGTTCAGCTGCTCCATGCAAGGTGGAAATAAACAGTGGTGCAGAGGCTCCACGCTGTTAACCATTTGTATCCCAGTTTCAACACAAAACATATCTGTTGTGGGGGTGATATCACCCCAGTAAAGTTGTTAGAGCCTCTTGGCACGCACATGTCTCGTGGATGGGCCGCACTTAGTTTTAACCCATGAGCGAGAAGTGGTGTTGTGCTCGTGCACGTTTATCATCGCGGTAGCGCTGGCAGTCACATAGCGATGAGGCTAGGCGGCCGGACAAAAAATATTGGGGACTTTTTTTTTTGTTCTTTGGTGGATGGAATGGATGGTCGCCTCCTGACAGGGTCTCGCAAGTTACGGCAACTGCAGGTCATGTTAAATGGGTCCCTAGTGAAAAGTTCAACATTGACGACGACGCCTACATGTTACCATGTCTTTGTTATGTTGATTGAGCATATTGAAATATTTGTATGAAGTTGTGTTTACTGTGTTGATCACTAATGATGTACTTGATTTGGCTAGTGATATCGTCAATGTAAAAAAAGTTCAATAAATGCTTGGTTTGGTTCGATCGGATCTACTCTCTCCATGTGTTCCGAGAGTCGAGAGCACAAGTAATTACGAGATCTCAAACAGTAAAGTTGGAGCGAGCAAGCCAACGCATCGCCGTAAAATCTGCTTTAAATGCAGGCATTACTTCAGTATAACTTCATAATAATATCTATACTCATCAACTTTTTTGAAAAACCAATTATAGGTGCGCACCGAACAAAGACATTCTTCTCGAGTGACCTCCCAAAGTGTCACCCTGAATTCACACAAGTTTTCAAATTATTCGGCCTTATTTTAGGGGTGTGTGAATATGAATCGAACACATAGCTTCGAATAGAAATCGAATAATAGAGAGATGCAATTTTTTTCCCCGGTAATCTTTTACTCCATCATTTATTTATGTTGGAAACAGTACACTTGGCTGTTATAGTCTGTCATTGCACACACCAAAAAGAAAAAAGTCACCATCTGTACTTGCCTGTAGGCACATGACTAATAGTTGAGCGTGTAGCTGTGATGTCTTGCATTCAACTAACTAGTTTAACAAACTTTTTGTATCTTTTCTTTCTTCTCCCAGATGAAAATATGTAACTGGGAATCCAAATAGTTTCAACTGGCATTAACTAGGATCAACTGCTCCCAGTTGCAGGCTAACTGGTTTTAGCTGGAGATCAACTGGGAACAGTTGGTCCCTATTGCAAGTGGTTTGAGTTGGTAGCTGGTCCCAGTTACAGCTCAACTGGTTTCAGCTGGGAATCAAGTGGAAGCAGTTGGTCCCAGTTGCAAGTGGTTACATTTAGTATCGGGTCCCGGTAACAGCTCAACTGGCCGCCAACGGGGCCCATCACCAGTTGAACTGGAAGATGCCAGTCAAAACTATGGTTTAACTGAAAGTGCGACATGTTCTGGTTGTACGCTTCTTCACAGTGAAAGATGAAAAATGTTGAACTTGATTGTGTATGACGTAGAATTATTGCACCTTAACAAATGAGCTTTATCCAAGTTTCTTTCTTTCTTTATTTTTTTTTCTATACACGCGGAAGTGTATCGGAGCACCAGCCCAGTAAGACATATATGACGATCAAAATCAGTGTCTCATTATTAACAAATTCATTATCTTAATTTTTTCTCATTCTCTGTGCTTTGTTTTAACCACACTGACTCGATTAAAATTATATTATCATGAAATATTTAGTTGCACAAGTGCGCAAACACATTGCATTCAAACATACGCTTATTAATTTTAACTTTAGTAAATTCAACTGCATTAAGCATTAGCGAATATTTTAAGTCCATCGCACAGGGGAAGTGGTCCCCATTGACGTCAGGCTGTGATTCAGTCACAGGGAGCATGATGCCTGCTTGACAGCCTTGTGTGCTTCGCAGACGCATTACTTTCGAACAAAACAAAAAAAATAACACAGTGCCGAGTCTGTAGATACCACGGCCAAGACTGCCGATATCCCATAAATAAAGCTGCAAACTCCAAAGCAAACGTGCATCGTACATCATCACAAATGATTTTACCACAAACACAATGCTTTCCTTCCTCCATGACAAACACCTACCACTTCTGTCCACTTTTTTTCTCACATTCTACCTGAATGACAAACTTCTACCGCTCCTTCCCACTTTCCCTCTCACATTCTACCTGAATTGCCGGCCGCCATCACTGTAGTTGCGTATCTAATCTTACGCTCAAATACAGAATTAAACAGAGATCTATAATTGGACAGAAATATAAAATAGACTGAATTGATTTATTAAGTGCAGATTCAGCAATTTTCAATGAAAGAAGCGCACAAAAAATAAAAATTTTTACACAGCGACGAGCAGTTTCGTATAGCACATGTGGCGAGGGCTAGCTACCATGTCATAGATAGGCACGGAAGTGCGGCGCAGTACTGTTTTTGATGATGAAAGTGGAGTCACGGCACGCTTAATTTAGGTATTTTGATTAGTGCTCGACAGTTTCATCTCAGGCAGACTTTACGACTTCAGGCGATCGTCAGACAAGTGTTTTTGCCTGTGACAAGATGGATATGTGGATCCATCATGTTAGAAATGCCGCGCTGGCTGCCTTGTTCGCAATGCAGCCGCTTGAAGGTAATTCCGCTCTGAGTAATTGAACTTGTAGAGATAATATCACGCAACACTGAGTGTTCTGACTGTGTACACAACAGAACGTTGCCTTATAAACAATGCTTTAGACACTGCAGACTTGCTGCCATTTGTTTTGGAGCGTCATAAAAAGTGAGTGTTAATCGCGCAGTACTTGTGTTCAACAGCATGCTAAGTAACTACGAAGTGTACTCGTGCAGGCTAGTAGCTTTAACCAAAGTTCTACAAAAGGTATAATATCATGCAACACTGAGTGTTCTGACTGGGAACATAATAAAACGTTGCCTTATAAACAATGCTTTAGACACTGCAAACTTGCTGCCATTTGTTTTGGAGCATCATAAATAGTGAGCGTCAATCGCGCAGTACTTTTGTTCAACAGCATGCTAAGTAACTACGAAGTGTACTCGTGCAGGCTAGCAGCTTTATCCAAAGTTCTAGAAAAGAGACCGTATTTGCTCGGTAATTAAATATCCCCAAACCTGTTGTCTGTGTGATCTTCGACATTACTATACAATGGCCCCCTTTTTTTTTTCTTTGCCACAGAGACAGCCTCGATGGTTTAAAAATCGAAATAGACCAAGCCGTGATCTCTACAAATAGTGTTAACTTAATGTACTGTGACATTTATCAGAATTCTGTAAGAATTTAAAATTGTACATGACACAAATTAATTGTGTTAATAATTGCAGTGCAAGGTGGTAAACTAGGCTGTGGTGCATCTGTACATTTTACCGATATGTACACTAAAGGTGTGCCTGTTCATTTACAAACGCTGTTGACTGTATGGTAGAGGGATTTGTAGAAAAGTGCAATCGAATGTTAAATACGAATTTGAGGAGAACCTCAATTATGATTTCTTCATAAAAATATCTCAAAACAGTATAGTGATCGATTGAGCCACATATTAAGAAGTGTGAATTAAGAGCCACAGTTACTGCTTACAGGAGCTGTTTGTAACTGCGACTATAGAACTTGTGTTTTGGTAGAGAGCAATATCTGCTTTGCTTTGGGGCACACTGCACGATTTCTTAATAAGCCAATACTAGTTGGATGTTGATAAAATTTGACTTCTGGTAATATTGCATGTGTAAAGTAGTAATTTCAGTTTCGCTAACAGTGTAAATATTTCTTTCAGATGGTTCTGTATGCAAGAGATCTACGAAATTGCAAGCGTCTGCCGCCTATCCAAGGAAGCAATCAAGATGCATCACAGCCCCTGCATGCTCAATCTGCAATGTTTCTAATAAATGAGGTCCAGCTTCAGTGCCAAGCTTCCTCGTCTATATGCACCACAGGGGTCTACTGGCAACTGGAAATCATTGGGACCAGTTGCCAGTGGGTCTCAACTGAAACCAGTTCAAGTGGTTTATGGTCAAATTCCCACTGGGGACCAGTTGCCAATGGGTTCATGTTGAAACCCACTGGCAACTGGTCCCCACTGGGAATTTGACCATAAACCACTTGAACCAGTCCCAGTTGTTCTCAGTTGGAATAATTTCACCTGGAATGTGGTAGCTCTTTATAAATTATTACAAAAAGAAGGAAGCTTTTCTACCTGCCATACTGACTAGCGAGCATGAGGCCACTGGCTTTACTCCTGCCATGGCAGCCGTATTCTGATGAGGTTAAATGTAACAGTTAACACCAGTGTGCTTATGTCTAGGCGATTATTAAAGCAGGCCAGGTGGTCACAATACTTGCAGGTTCCCACACTATCAGCTTTCGCTCTTAAGACCTCATATTTTATCGTTTTCTATTTACGTTTTTCAACATTTCGCCCCTGTTCTCACCGGTCGAGCCACTAAGGTAAATAGGAACACTTTAGACCTCTTCCAACTACACAGGTATACTCATTACCTGGCTTGCTTCTATTCCCTTTCTTGAGGACTGCGTGCCCGCCATTTTCCGATCAAGAGTGCTCTGTCATGCTGATAGCTGCACAATCGTGACCAAGATGTACCGGGCGCGCGGTGATAACGTGAGATACCGCATTTATTCAAATCTAGGCTGATGACTTCTTTCAGACTTCTTGGCATCTGGGTCGACTTAGATTCAAGGATTTTGAAGAAAAAAGTGCCATCATTGAGAAAGCGGAGCACAACTAGCGCCACATAGACTGTATTGTAGCCGTTAGTAGCCAAGCCAACACCTGGCTTAGGTACACACGTGAGGGCATCATTTTGATTTTAGTGGTGAGTAGTGAGACAAGCGGTTTATCATTTCAAGTCGCGCTTCGAGTGGTCTCTGTATGGCGTAGCTCAATGACGCCAAACAGGCAATGCAATTATAGTGCCACTTATAAAAAAAAAGTTGTCCTAGGAGTGCAATCATCGTCCAATGTTCAAATCGGGCAGGACTTTGGAGTGAACCAAAAAAATGTGCATTGCTGGAGGGTCTGCAGCATGAGACGACAAACCGGGAACTTTGATTGTGCGCTCTTTTAAGAAGTGTGGCATATCCAATCCCTTGATGGCACCGAGGATGGGGCATTGTTTGAAGACAGCAACAAAAAAGTCAGTGGCTCGAAATAAGCACGGCATCTTTATAATGCAAATAACTAGAAGCAGCACGAAAAAAACGACGAGAAAGAAACACACACAACAGGACTAGCGGCTGTATGTCTCTCAAGTTATGTGCCTCATGAACCAACTGCTCTGTTTCATTTTCATGTTCAATAAATGTTCTCTCTTTGTGAATACTGTCTCTGTTTCGTTGAATTTACATACAAGGTTTTGTTTTTTTTTTACTCCAGGCTTGAAATTTAGGTGGTGGGCTTAGCATCGGGGACGGCCTATATTCCAGTAAATACGGTAAGCGCGTCACATAGGAAATCACCGATAATTACGATGTGTGATAGAAAGATGCCCCAAATACACGTTTTTATTAAGAGGGGAGGCCGCCCTTGAAAACCGAAAAATCGCGAGAAAGTTTGTTTTTGAAAAACCATATTTTTGGGTTGTATGTCACATAAACTACCTATTCTGTAAATATCAGCGCCTAAAACACGCGCAAACGCCAAAATCAAACCGAAATTCGCACGCGTGCCATTCCTAGACCATGCGGCCATCCTACACCATCGTGGTCTTGTTTTGATCGTGAATTCTTTCCCTCTTGTTAACCGCCTTTCAAAATGGTGTCAACAGCGTGTTTGAGGTGCTATTCATGTTTCTACAAGATGCGATTCAGAGTGCTGGTTCGCCAAAGCAGCTCATTCAGCTCTCGCGGGCGAAAGTGCGCCTGCCATTGGCTGCTGCATTGGAAGCAGGGGCGGTCCCTCCGTGCGATGGCACGTCTGACCCTATAGACATTTGCTTACGGGCCGCTTTTTGCCTTGCGCTGTATTTTCTATCAGTTTCTCTTCGTTTTTTATTTTTGCACCTGTTCTGTGCCCTTTATCTTTGTTGTTGTGCGAGATGCCATCAACAAAGCCGAAGATGGTGCGCAAGTTCAAAGCGAGGAAATGCGTTATGCCGATTCTACGAGAATTGAAATTTCACTTTTCTGCTGCAAAGCCCAGTGCATAGATGCTTGCGCCGGCGAAACTGTGCTGTCGGCTGCCACCAGTCCAGAGTCCGACAAACCGTGCATACCTGGAGCCACGATTGCATCGAGCATGTCCGAGATCGCTAGATTCAGCACGTGCTCTGAATCGGTACTGTCAAGCCCGACACCAAGTGTTGCCAAAATCGTCATACTCCGCACTTTGTTTGTATTGGGCCCAATAGCGTACATGGGCCGTCGACCCTTTATCTGACGATGTATTTCGTAAGGAAGAAATCGATCCGAATGCGAGACATTGACACGCCAATCAGGCTGAACTCGAATCTACGCCAGCGACGCAGCAAAAAATTGAACTGATGCAGCTGGCTCTTGAAAAAGATGCCCTACGTCTGAAAAAAATTCTACACGGCCCTTAGAGAGGATGGAGGGACGACAAAAAAGGAACGAAGTGAACAAACACACTTCGATCTACTCTGCTGGAGCTTTTTGAGGAAAATGTGTGCTGAACTTTCAAAGCCCGTTTTCTCAAAATGGATTTTTTAGCTAGTGCCGAGGAAAGTGATTTCTCAAGAACTGCTTATTAAATTTGTGGGCCGTTTTTTTTTTATTCTGCTCCTGGATGATTTTGCCAGGGCGTAACAAGCTTTTTTTTTTTGTTGAAAATTGGTGCCATTATTTATTAATAAACAATTATTTTTTTATAAATGTCATACCTACTGGCTTCACCTAATTCAAAGTTGCATAAAATTTTTTTGGAGAAAAAAATAAAAAAAAATAATGGCTCTTTAGCGCCCTAGGATATTTATCCAGGGATGACCACAAAAGTTTCAGCCTTCTAGCATGTCCTGGGATTTCTTCCAGCTCTTCCTCAAACACGCAAGTGAACTGCCACCTCAGTAGCTCTAGAACTGCTGAACACAATTTCATGAAGCTTTGCAGTTTTTCTATATTCAATGTAGTGAACATACTCTGAAAGTCTTGTGAAGATATCTTAAAAAATAAAAAAGTTAGTTTTCCGGGGTAGCCTCCCCCCTTAATGGAGCCACAACTCCCAGCGGCAAAGGCACTATTTTGCCACATCGCGACTCCCTTTGGTGCACTCACTGGCGACGACAGTAGACTGGTGTTGGGAAACGAGCGAGATCGCAGCAACGGTGTTATGGAAGACTGATTGCAGGAAATGCTGCCGCGCGAGTGATATGCATGTACGACAGATTCCCAAAGGCGCTGTCATACAACACAGATGATGACACCATTGTAACGTTACCCAAAAGTGCATAGCCTTTCTTTGTTTGCCATTGTGTGGATGACCATATGCGCTACCATGAAATCATTCCGGAACTATGAAATGAATACATGCTGAAATAGTGGCACAGCTAACAGACGACCCGCCAGGCTTTGGCGCATGCACGTGTGTTTGTACGGCAATCCATTAGCGAAAATTGCCGCTGCTTCACATGAAACGCATCAACAACGTACCTCAAACTGAGCGCGCCCCTAGCTATATTTGGGTGCAGTGCGTCACCTACTAAGCTCACTCTGTCAACGCCACTCCCTGGAACGTACGCACGCATTCGCCCTTGCACAGAGACAAATCGCCATCGCTGTAGCGGTGAGTTGCCTTCGTTTCCATGAGCAATATGCACTTTATTGAGGTGGTGCCGTGCACAAGGGCGTGGCAACAGACAGCGTGGTCGGTACGTGTACAGGAACAGTAACAGCACTAAACAGCTAAGCCATATGTACTGCCAAGCAGGGAGTACATAATTTAGATTGTTTGAGATAACAGTTTGTTGTGATTCCATGCCGCCGCATTCGTACGTAGCTGTCAACACACTCCCGTAAATTTCCGTGAAGGCATCATCGCACTCGTGCCGATGTAGTAGTAATCAATCCACGATCTACTGTTGATGCTCTCATCACAAATGTGTAAAATCAGAAGTTCTTCACAGTGACATATGCGACCCGATATCTGTGAGGATCGAATACTTAAGAAATACTCTAATTATTTTGAATATTAAAAATTTTTGATTTAGTGGATATCAACTTAAATATTAATATTACAAATGCAATATTTGAAACTTTCAAATATTCCCACACCCCTGCTTTGTTTTTTATCTTATATTTGTGTGAGTGTTGCAATATGAGCGACATAAGCTTTGAAAGTTAAGTTACTGCTGCGGCGTCCAGGTTTGCGGACACCAAGCATACGGGGTCTGTGTAAGAAACTGACAGAACACCGCAACATAGTAAGACCCAATCCGTTGCCTTGTGGCACGGCGTAAAACATTATCTGTAACATAGCTAAATACAGCTGAAGGGAGAGTTGGGTTGCTCCAATATAAATAGCTAAATATACATTTTAAAGGCCATGTTTATAGAATTTTCCCTTTTTTTTTTTTTTGAAGGAGAAGTGGATTCTAGCTGGCTAGCAAAGAAAATTTACAGAGCATAATTACAGTGATGCTACTCACTTAGGCTGTTTTGGAGCAGCTTTTGGAGCAGACTCAAATGCATTTAGGAGCAGCAAAACTGGCTTTTCGAGCAGATATTGTTAGAGTCAATTTTAAGACACCCATTGTGTTCACGAAGAAATCTGCAAACAGTGGTTGTGTCCAGCCGATGTTCTGACAAGCGATCTTGTCTTCCTCAAAACAAAACTGTTCTGTTGTTCTAGCCTTGAGAAAGACAAGTGCACTTGTAGAAACGTCCACCCGACGCAACCCTAGTTTACGGATTTTTTCAAGACAAGGTTCAGCCAC